CTGATTTCAAGTAGAAGACAAAAATGAAAAAAGCCAAGAGACTTTCAAAGGCATTTGAAGAGCCCAAGGCCACACAAAGAGGCCAATGAAGTGTTGTGGTGATGCTGTCCAAGATAGGTGAGGCATAGTCAAAGCAAAGCATTATGTCGTGAGCTCTGTTTTGTACCTTTACACCTCTCTCATCTTGAGCTATTGTTGCATGGACAGTCACTGACGTGCTGTTATCCCTGCATGAATCCATGAACACAAAAAGGCTTAAAGGATCCTTTTCTTGAAGAAGAGGTAGGCCCATAGACCAAGACAAAGGCTTCAAACTATCCAAATTATGTCTTCTGGGTGTTCCTCAAAGGTATAATAGCTATCTGGGGGAATCATCTCAAATGCTGTTGCCCTACAAATCAAAGGTCTTATTGTGCAAAATGCATATCAGACAGAGGGATGTATTTTCGTCTCCTTCTTCTTCTTCTTTGCCAGGTTGTAATTTTGTGTTGGCACAAGACCGCACTATATCTCCAAGAATGTTGCAGAAATGTTTGATCCTCACGTAAACGTCGTGTCTGCGCTCACAAGATGCTTATTAGAGCAGGAGTTGGAATTTTTCCTCCATCTGATTTATATCAGGTGCAAGACCATGGATGGGTAATTTGGCTGATAGAAGCATTTTTATTACAGAGCTCTGTTTGTGGTGGAAATGATAGGCCTGCTTCACTGCATTTGTGGACTGGAGTTTACCCCGATTCTTTTTGTCTACAGCTGATTCCTCTGGAATGTTTGTTTGGACCCATCCAACTGAACGTAAGATTCACCTGGAATTCAAGGCAGTGAGACACATTTGGGCCCGATCCACAATGAATATGCCCCAATTTCTATATTTTTTCTGTACAATAAAATTATAAGGAAGAATATCTGTCAGAATGGTGCAGTTTGCAAAATGAGGATATTTAAGGACATCTAGCAGCTGGATTGGAGCGGTTCCTCATTTTCTCTTAGTATTTAATCCACTGCCAGTACAATTTAAACATCGACTAGTCATTTCCTCTTCCTGTATGATTCCTATCTCTGCTTGTCCTAGCCATGAAGTCTGATGTAGAATCAAAGAGTTTAATAATATATGCTTCTAAAAAAACAATGTGGACGCCAAATTTAGGCTTGAAGTGATTTTACTTGAGGCTTCTGCAAGGTCAGTTTCAAGGGGAGTGTTTTGAATTTGCAATGACCTCATTAAACCCGGACATTTTTGAGGACCTGTGTCAGAAATGCAGGGGTTAGCAAGGACACAAGCTTGGAGGAAGGTTTGCAAGGAGAGTAGCACACAGAACTTTCAACAGTTCAGTCAGTGGGTTGTTGTACAAACTTAGTGGCTTCCTTTGTAGTTTTTTTTAAGCTGTATGTCTGTCTTATGTCCTAAAAGAGATCATGAAGTGAAATCTTCTGATAGCATTGTTAATATTTCAGCAAATCTAAAGTCAAGTCAACATTCTGTATTCATGCTTTAAAAAAATACATTTCACTGCTGATAAATGATTACCGGCACAATTGGAAATGTACTTAACTTTTTATACTAACATTATACAAATAGACAATTGCAAATATTTTAAGAGAGGCACTTCAAAAAGTTGAATCTACAGATAGTTAACTGAATGTGCTGGACTTGAACTTTGAAAAGAGGCACATTTTCCCCAGTGCGACAAAAAGAGTTATTTTAACTCACTGCGTGGGCCTAAAAAGAAGTTGATCCTGGCTGTTTTGTTTTGGCTTTGGTGCTGCACATGTGTTAACTTACAATCTCTTACCATCAGGGTAAAGATTTAAGTCAGTCAGATGTTTGAAAACTTTGACATTCTGAGCATTTCTTCGTCCTCAGCCCTCCAGATCCTGAGAGATGCTTAGTCTCTCTGAGGCCTGGAAAGAATTCCACCTTCATTTAAAGTCCTTACAGCCTGATTCTTGAGCAAAGTTGTGAAATCGATTTGATGTGTTGCAGACAACCTCAGAGTATGCAGAGCCAGTCCACAAATTGCATGTGTGGTGTGAGTTAAAGAGGGTGAAAAGAAAGTGTGAGGTGCTCAGAGGATAAAGAATAAATAAACCTGACTGGTGTGTTAACAGCTACTGTGAATTTGATTCTTATTGCGACAACTGAAAAGGAATTTTACACCATTTTAATAAAATACTGTAATATTCCCAGCAAGACTGTGCCTGAGCTTTTAAGGCCATTGCTTGAATTGGAATGGTATTCAAATATCTCTGTTTAGTTTTGAAGACTTGGTCCAAGAATGCTAATAGGTCATAATGATTGCTGTTTGCTCAGACAGATCTGATGAAAAAAGGCTCTAACCTCTGATTTTCTGATTTCGTTTGTACTTTTTCCAGACTTGGCAGTCCGTGACAATGAGAAAACTGTAGTAGGAATGATCTGACATGAGTATAAATACTTTTCATGGGTGATTGACCCTTTTCCTGGACACACACACTCCAACATCAAAAGCATATATCCTCTAGACTCCAGAGCCACTGATTAAACACATTTCAGAAGTATTTCCCCTCCATTTCCATGGCAGATCTGGCAAAGGCATATAAGATGTGTTTCATTAAGTTTTATCATGAAATATTGTCCCACGTGTGTGTCAGAATATGCCTATGCAGTTGCACATGCGCTGATCTGTCTCCATCGTTTATGCAGCAGATTTTTTTTTAAGCCAGGGAGTGGTAGCGATGTGGCGAGCTGCCAACTGAGTCTCAACATTTCTCAAGAAAGACAAATGGCATTGTTCCAGGAGCTGATACCAGCTTTACTGGCAAATCCCTGCCTGCTGGACTGAAATTTCAGCCCTGTAAAGCGAGCAGGAGTGGAGCGGAGCTTGACAAAAGATGACATTGGTTTGTAAGTTTTAGACGATGACGCTCAGGGGGAATCCATTATGTGGCTGTCACACAGCATTAGGACAGACAGCAAACACTTTCATGTGTGGATTACCATTTACCCATTGGAGATAATAGATATTTGCCTTAGCTAATCCATCCCTCCATTGATTTTTTTTCCCCCTTTTTAATAACTTCTTGCAAGCAAGCATATTTTAAGAAGTGGAAGAATGCTGACGAGTAAGAAGCTGGAACAAAGGGACGTGCTTGACACAGATAAGCTGCTTATAAATACGCAAAAAGAAGATTTTAAGATCAGTTTTAAAACCTCTTTAAGTTCATTACATATTCCAGTAAGTCTTTTTTTTTTTTTTTTTTATTATTTTCAATTTTTTTTAATTCAGTAGCATTGCCACATATATACAGTTATGTACAACAGAAGTCATCGGTGGGCAATGGTTCATGACCCCCCGCCCACCCACAAGACACAGTTAAACAAAACAAGCAAACAACAAAGAGAAAAAAAAGTGGAAAACACACCTCAAATACAGACAGAAGACGAAAGGAAAACAAAAAATATATATGCAACTACATTTACATCACATTAAACGTAATATATCATGTGCATATGATGAAAAAAAGGGGAAAAAAAGGAAATTCCTCCCTGTCCCGCTGATCTGTCCCACCCAGGAGGTCAAAACATCAGATACAGCTGGGGTTTTTTGTTGTTGTTGTTTTTTTAACACAACATATGTCACATATTGCAGAAAAAATAGTCAGAGAAGAAAAATAGTCTTTGATAAGTTCATGCAAACAATCATAACCTTTGACACATTCTGTACAAAATTTTATCATTAGGCAGCTGCTATGTGGTAAATGTTTATTAATAAAAGTCCATCACAAAATATTTTCACATACACTGTGCAGCAAAGTATTAGCTTTCATTCTATAAACTGCTTCTGTTTAAAAATGTAATTCAGATGGTAAACAGTTATGAAACAAACAAAAAAAGAAGAAAAGAAAAATGAATATGGAAATTTAGATTGCCTGCTGGTTTGGCTCAGCTGGCACAGCAGACGCCTCATGTACATCAATTGATTCCTAAGCTCCCAACATGCTTTGCTGTATGTTTTTTTTTCCTCCACTCTTTCCCCACATAAGGAAAACTCTAGAAGTATACAACATTTTACCTCAATGTTTTTGTAAGAATATGAGCACCAAAAATAAACTAATACTACCGTCTGTTGTGTATGTAAAAAAATAAATCAATGAGTCATGAACTAAGTGACATGCTTCTTCATGACAACACTCCTGTATTCTGCCAAAACACAATCATGGAGTAGTAAATATCTGTTTTATATTCATCCACCCCTGAAATCAATACTGGACAAATACTAAATTCATCATTTTCTCAGACATGGGGACCAAAAAAACAGCCTTTTTTTCATACAGCCTCATGTAGACCAAATATTTAACTAACTGATCTTAAAAATGGCACCAAAATACTTCAAGTTAGGGCCGCTACCTAACAAGCTAAGCAGACAGGTGCAGCTAATGAGAATAAAGTCAGAGGGCAACCACATCCTGAAAGCTGACAGAGTATTTATATCATCTTGGAAACTGTGTCGAACCTTTAAGTCATGTTTGAAACCACAGCAGTGTAGCAGCGCAGCTCTTATTTAGTAATAAAACTCAAAGTCAAGATCATAAAAAACAAATCATTGCACTCATTGAAATGAATTGCTTTAAACTGTTTATACGAACATAAAATACGTTTTAAAATGTAAAATAATGGAACTTGTAACATAAAATCCAAAATGCAGTTAATCATGTTAACCACAGAAATTGAACGAGTTCTGAGGAATGAAAAAAAAAGAAGAAAGTGAAAACAAAGCTGCTCAGAGAAATGAAGATTTTGTTATATCAGGTTCAACTCCACAGACAGCATATTCTCATAAAACCTGTGCAATGCAGAATGATAAAAAGCAAGTCACACTGTGAAACTGCTGCAGCTGTAAAGGTAAAATATTATGTTAAAGGTTAATGTAATGATAAAAAAAGACATGTTAGAATGTTTTTTGCATTTTCAGAGAAGTCTTTTTCATGCACTTTCTCAGGTGATAAAAGAGGACAGACGTTCACTTGTTTTGGGTTTGGGGGCTCTTTGTCCTTGGCTTTGGCACCGGTGAAACTCGTTGTTCTTCAGTATCAGCAGACAGATGTTGAGGCCTGTTTTCAACCTGTACTTCAGGCGGTGAAACGTTCTCATAGCAGACTCTGGCCTTAGGCTCTGGGCTCGTAGCGGGAGAGTCCTCGCTTGGATGCATGGTCTCGTATTCAGGGCTGATGGAGTCCGGCTCTCGTTTGCTCAGAGAAAGCATCCGGAGCTCTCCCGGTCTCATTTGAGTTTTGTCGTGTTTGTTGCGGCAGCACAATATGATGATGATAATGAGCAGAAGTAGGATGAGACCTGCTCCTACTGCCACCGCAACCATAACAAGATTGGGTTTAAAACAGAGCAAAGCTGGCGGTGGTGGTGGTGACGGAGTTTTACAGACTGGACGGACAATGTCGCTCTTCTCTTTGCTGACTTTGTTTTCCACACTGCATGTAAAGCTCCTCTCACCTTTCAGCTGTGCCAGTGATATGCTGAGTGTTTGTCTTTTTTCACTTGTTAAGGTCTTGTCATCCAGCGTCCATGAGAACGCCAAACCCTGAAGTTTAACCACGTCACAGTTTAGATTCACAGCACTGGACTTGAAGTCACAGCTATAGACCAGCCTAGGTTTTTGTACCTTGTCCATCAAGCAGAGATGACCGCTCCACGCTTTAGCAAATGTGCCGTTTGGGGTCAGCACATTTGCTTGGTAAATTCCAGCACTTGTAGGTCGCAGGTTCTTCAGAATGAGTGATCCAGCTGCAGAGATGTCCTCTGGTTTTCCCACAGACACTCTGGTTTGCTGCCGGTAAAAAACAATCGTGTTGTTATGGGTCCATCTCAGCACGTAGAAGGTGGTCAGTCCCTCAAAGGTAAAAGGTAAAGTCAGGCTTTGTCCAACAGCAGCATAAAGATCACAGCTGTCCGTCTTTGTGGTTGAGAGGTTGATGAATACTGAAAGAAGAAAGAGCGAGGCAGCAAAGCACGCCATAGTTTGCGCTGACAATCCAATGTTCGTATCAATAATCCCTCGAGACTTCAGTGATCTCCTTCCTCGGTCTTTAGGACGATATGTAGATTTTTCAAGCTCTGGTGGGGGACCAGTCCTGTAATGATCAGACGGGTCTTTGCCACTCAGAATATATCTGTTAGAAAGATGACTTACTCGCCCCTTAAGGAGAAGTGAATCTTTGCCAAGAGCAAAACTGTTGCTCAAGAGTCTGCTTTCAGTTCCTAAAAAAGCAAAGTTGTGTGGCAATGACCATTTTCCATGACCATTGTTTTGACTCAAATAGAACGAGCATGACCTGATAATGACAAAGGTTTTGAGGTTAAACAATATTTGATGATCCACAAAACCACATGATGGTTATTAAACTTCAGCTCTAAAATAAAACTTAATGATGTCATGTTATCAACGCCCAGGTGGGTACAGTAAAACAACGCTTAAGAACTTCCTTTTTGGTTCATTACTGCTGGAGTAAAATAAGGTTTGATGCTAATAATCAACACAGGGTATTTATCAAGCGGTATAAAACAAAACTTCACTTTGTTCTATATCTGAAATAAGCCAAAAATACTTTTAAAGTACTCATTATTCTTCAGTTTAATTTTATTTGACTCTCTATTTTAGGTTGTTTTCTAGGATGTTTTTCTGTTTCGTTTTAATTAAGTTTGAGTCCAACTCTTACACAGTTTTGCACCAAAGCTAAACGATGGTGGTCACCATATTGGAAAATGCTGACTCAGCCTAATTTACAGTCAAGCTAGAATGAGGCAAAGAGATGAAGATGAGGCGAGCCTTCAGTCTTTATCAGCTACATTATGTTCACCTCTAAGTCAACCCAGCCTTTACAATGATTAAGTAATGCATAAATCTTAGTGTTGAAGTCTTCAAGATGGAAAAGTTATACAACAAATAAAGAATAACCTCCTGTACAGAGCATATGCACAAAGAAACTAGATACACCAAAAATCCACTTTTGGTTCCACACTTTCATTCTGTTGTGAAAACGTTATTTTCAACATAAACTGTTGTTTATTGCACTTTCACATTTGCTCCTTTTTTGTTGTTATTGTGTGATAACATTATGTGCCCTCATCTGCGTGAAAAATGGAAGATAGATTTGATGTCAGCCCAAATATATGTACAAATGTATAAAACATTTAAACAGATGAAAACTTGTGATAGTTTAAAACTAGTTATTGTGTTTGCTTAATGCCTCATTTTTTATTTCATTCTTGTCAAAAAATAGGATATTGATTTTCTATTTGTTTTAGCAAAAGATTACCTATTAGAATACCAGTGTTTTCTTATATTGTTTATTTGTGGTCACTGTGTCTGTACGGATAAAAATATCTTTCAAATGCTACTAGATGAAAAAAACATGAATAACTGTCTTTTAAAACTGTCTTAAGATGTTTTCAGCAAACATTACACAGTCTGCTATCACTGTTTAATATTGCAGGAAGTTGAGGCTCAGAGTAGATTAACTTCCTGAATTATTATGAAAGGAGTTTGAAGATTTATTGTGTGTCAGATATTTCCCTCCCGGCCTTTGCATCATTTGTCCTGGTTATTGGTTTTTGTCTGTCAAAGAATACAAATGACTTTTGTTTGTTTAATCTAAATTGGTTTAGTCAGGGCTGCTTTTTTTTTTTTTGATAGAGTAAATGAATAATAAGAGGCCACCGCCTTCATGGTAATATCTGTGGAAAATGCTTTTGTTCTGGTGTCTCTGGTTGTGCAGCTCGGCCATTGACAGTGTGTAATTTGTGATTAGAAACGGTTGCCATGCTGTCAGTTAAAAATCTAAATCTAATCATTCAATAAATCTCCTCTTGGAAGGGGAACCGTAGTCAGAAAGTCACGCAGCGGTTGTTCATTTTTTAGAACAGGCTTCAGTAAATTTAGGTCATGTTCTGACCTCATTTGGCTCACTGGTTTTCACCCAACATGTCCTCATGTTTTACTATTTGGTGGATCGCGAGCTGAGTTGGCATATTTTCATGTCATAAAGTAGAGAATTTGCTTTTGAATTGTACTCAAATTATCATTATCAGGGGAGCTTTCTGTAAATCCCCTGTAGCATTTCCAGTAAAGCAGAGCCATTGTTCAGTCACCATTTAGAAATACCCGTCATTCCATAATTCATGGTATCTATCCACAAACCCCCCAAGTGTAACTGTGCCGGCACAGGCTACACTACAATGGGTTCATTTTGCATCCTACAACTATAATTTCATGTAATTAGCAGGGATTCACAATCTTTCTGTAACTCTCAGCACCTTCAAAGACACACGTAGCAAAAGAACACCTGTTTCTTTTGGTCTCACCATCATTACACTTTTTCCCACCCTGAGGGGATGGTTTTACGATAAATGTTAGCTATTCAGAGAGGGCGTACGCAGAGTTAAAAGCAATGAATTCCTTGTTAGAAATACTATAAAGATTATATCTCCAAAAAGTTTCCCTGCCAGCTCACATTTATAGGAGCATGTGTAACTGTGCGTGCATGTGTGAGTGTTTTTGAGCAGGTTTACAGATCCATCATGAAAGCGGGGTAAACATATGGTATCCTTGTGTTTTGAACTACAGCTAGCTTTAACCAGCGGTGGTGTCTGTTCTCAACTCTCCACCTCTGTGATGAGCATCTGTGACACTGAACTTGGCAACAGAAATATCAGAAGAAATGAAACAGAGGTTGTCATCTGAATGAGTTTACTGATCAGCATTTCAGTATCAGTATCAGTTGTATCAGCACTACCAGGAAATGAAAGATCAGCGCACTTTGAAAACAACTTCACTCTAAAGTGCAACATAAAACCAGCCATTTGGAGTTCATTGCATACATCTAGATCTGACTAGACTCAGAGTCAGCAGAAATTTGGGATTATTATTGGGTTGATGTGCTAGTTCCTTAAAAACAAAATCAGAGTTGTGAGGGCAGCTGAATCATTTTAATCTTTACTTGAACAGTCTGTAAAGAACTTAGATTTTATGTCTTTCATGGAGAAAGTTTTACCTCTCATCTACAGTATACGCCGTTTTTTCCCCCCATACATGTGGAAATATTTTCTAGAAAAACAAAAGTCTTTATACACTTTACACTATACACTTTATACCAAGGATATTATGTCCTACAATGTACATCAGTATCAACAGTATGTAACCACCCACAAACACCCTTAAGGCTCAAAGTCGGCGCTTTAACCTCAGCATCAAGTACTGCATTTTAAATCAAGCATGTTGGACAAGAGCCAAGATAATAAAAAGCATATTACTGCCCTAAAACTTACATCCGGCACTAAATACATCCTCTGCATCATATTCAGGGACAATCACAGCTCCAGTCCATGAAGGCTGAAACATTCGCTGTCTGCGTCTTATTGACAGATGGGATAAATTTGTATTTTAACCTAATAGCTCCTATTAAAAAAACCAACCAGGATTTTTATATGACCATATTCACGTAATTAACGAACAATAAAAGATGAATGAAGATAAACTGACGATATTCCTTATGTAATTTTGCAAAATAAAAACCCATGATTCATCACAGGACCATGTTTATGAAGCCCCTTCATATGTTACAGCGGTGGAAGTATACAGTGGTGCAGATTATTTTCACTTCTGCTCCTGTTTTCACGGTATTTCCTGCCCTCGTCTCCTCCCCTTGGTGTCCTCATCCTGTCAGAGATAAAGAAAAGGAACTGAGCAGTAGTGTCCAGTGTCATGGTGACATAATGCGCCAATGTGCCTGTTGTCAATCAAAGCTCAATCTGCCACGCTCAGGACTTAAAGGTTTAACAAGTAGTGCTCAATTTTTCTCAAATTACTGGAAAGAAAATATTCCTGGTTTGCCCACTTATTATGAATGGTTGTCCAGGGCAACCAGAATGTATTAATTCAGCTTATAATGACTGCAATCATAGCCAACAACAAAGGGCTCCTCTCCAACTCTAGGATTTTATGCAAACAGTACCATGTTTGCCAACCCCAATCATTTTTCCTCCCTTTTGATCCTCTCCTGTGTTATGCCCTCTTAATTGGCTACAAAGTAAGGTCTGGGTTAGAGCTGGTCTGGGTTAATTGGCTTCAGTTCTTGGTCCCTCAAGCTTTCAGGCTGGGAGCCCGTCTGCCGAGCTGATGTTTAATTCAGGGGCCCAGATGGTGGCGTAACAGCCTGGCTTTGAGATCCTAGATTCACACCTTCACCAGACGTGGGCTGTGTGGATCTGTGGCCCTGGGGGGATGAGGGTGTCCAAGAGGCCCCTCCTGCTCTCAAAAGTCAATAAAATCAGGGATAGAGATGCCACTCAGAACCTAGTGCTTTGAACTTGATTGAAGAGAGCCAGTTTTTTTGGGACATTTATAATGAATAATTTCTAATCATTACAAAGAGACGATTACCTATGCAGGTCCATGTATTTGGAATTGTCAGCCCAAAATTCGGCATATTATCTCAATAGCACTAAAATTTAGAGTTACTGTGAGCTGGAGGGTCCTAAAAGGAAGCCTCTATAACATATTGTTGGTACAAAGTTGTGGGTCAGGGTTGCATGATGCAAGCTAGTGAACAAGTTATCTGATTTTTTGTTGTAAGGGTTGAGGTTTTAGTTTTAGTTATATTCTAAAATCTTATTTTATCTGGCTTTATAATGCAGGAAAATCTCCAAGTGAAAATCCAAGTTATCAGAAGTTATTTAATGATGATTAAGCATTTTATTTTATTTCTGTCTGCCACTAACAGCACAATGGAAATTGTATTTCTCTTCCTACTAAGTTTTGGTGTCTGACATTAGGGCTGGGCGATAAACCGAAAATTTGCAGATACTGAAATTAACAACAATAACCAACGTAATTTTGCTCAGATCAATATATTTGGTGTCAAAATAAACAAATAAATAACAGTTGGTTTTGGATGTGTGTAGGTAGGCTTCAAGACGCTGTCCTATGTAGGAGACGTGACTCCGCCCCATCCAGTCTGT